AATGTCTTCCACATTTTTATAGTTAATGGGATCAGACTGTGTCATTGTGTTTAAATTAGTTTTAGGTGGACCCAGCACATATCCAGGACCTGATGTAGAGCTGCTGACTATCTAATTTTCTGGATTTTGTCTATGAAGAATGAGGCGACTTTGTCCCTGGTGGAATTAAGTTCAGGTGCAACTGACACTGGAGGGTTTATTAGCTCGTCGACAGCAGCAAATAAGGCACATGCATTAGTATTTTTATTGGTGATGATGTCAGAGAAATAAGATTACCTTGTGGCTTTGATGCCTGTGTCAGAACTGGTGGAGGCAGACACCATGTCGGTTTAATGGGAGAGAAAATGGAAGAAGGCTGGGGGCTACATTTGAGTTCAGCACTGGTCAGTAAACTCCAGGTTGGGGGTGGAACAAAGTATCCAATGAAGACTTTTTCAGTCATCTTTGATTGAAGTGAGCCAGATAGTTAAGTGACATGAGAACAGATCAGTGTCCCAAAACTCCTCCTAACTGCTCTGCTCCCTGTGTTCCAGATGGAATAGTGCGTCCTCTCCATTCTAGCGAGTACCTGTTCGACTTCCTGTTGGATGATGGCTCTATCTCCTTCTCGCTGAGGAGAATGATCTGGAAAAGCCCTCTGTCCTTCAGCAATGACCTCTATGTGGATTTCCACTATCAGCAGGTGACAAAATGACTTCACAGCAGCCAGGAACAACATGACTTGTCGACCTCTGATTCAGTTTATATCTAGCTTTCACTGTCTGTGTGTGTTTCTGTGTGTGCAGCTCCTTGCTGACTACCTGAGTGGGCACCTGATGCTTCCTCCTACTGCAGGAGGGTCCCCAGCAGTCCAGCTGATAGCAGAGCTGTCAGCCCTGCAGCATCTGGCTCTGGGTCTGCAAGATCAGCCTACACTGTGAGTGGCACACACCGAGAGTCACAGTAATACAGCACTGTGCAATGTTTTAGGACACTGACTCATTTACCCACTCTGGACAAAAGCTTGTTTTCACCTCAAAATAGTTCAAGTATCTCCTAAACCACAAATTGTCATTTTCATATTTTTGTTGGTATACAGAATAAGTAAAAAACATTATGTCGATATCTTAGATTTAGAACCTTTGGCTAAGCGATTCCCTTTGCTTTTATTCAATTCAATTTGATTCAATTTAATTCAATTCAATTCAAATCAAATCAAATCAACTGAATTTTATTTTTATAGTGCTGTTTGCAAAATATGTCATCTCACTGTGCTTAGCATAGTAAGGTGAAGACCTTAAGAATTTAAACAGAGAACCCAACAATCCAAAGTAGCCTTTTGACTCCCTCTGAGCAAGTTGTTGGCAGTGGTGGGAAGGAACAAAAAAAAAAAAAAAAAAAACACAAACGGAGGAACAGAACCAGGCTCAGGGATTCATCAATCTCCAGATATCCACCAAGCCAGTGTCCTCCTGGAGTGGGCAAATTTCTACTCGGCCCCTGGATGGCGCATTAGAGTACCGAGATCTATCTAATACAGGGTCCACCATCTGATTAAAATCCCCTTCAAGTATTGTGCAACCATCATTGAATGTCCCAAGAAGTCTATTGACTTTGTGGAAAAAAACAGGATCATCCTCATTGGGGGCATAAATTTTACATAGGTTCGAGTCAATACAGACAACCCTTCCGTCTTCATCTTTGTGCTCCTTAAGTAACACAAATTTCAATTTCTTATGCACAATGTTGTGACACCTCATTTCTTACTATCAAGTGAGCTATGGAAAACATGGCCCACCCAGCCCTTTCAGAGTTTCATTGCCTCTGAGTTTTTCATGTGTCTCCTGTAAGAGCACCACATCTGCCTGCTGTGATTTAAGATAAAGCATACACTTTTTCAACTTAGTAAGATTCTGTGTCCCATTTATGTTCCACAATATTGCTATAATATGACTGTTATTATTACTCTTTATAGTCATGGTGCTCCATCATGGTGTACTGCCGCCACCCACCAATAGGTAAAAGTACAAAACAAACAAAACAAAACAAAGGAAAAATATAGCATTTTTGCAAAAAATAGAAAATGTACATAAGCTGTCAAAGTCAAACACACTCAAATATGAACATACCCTTGAACGTAGGGTAAACAACACTACCACCCTATCTTCACCCACAAAATCTGCCCATCTAGCGCCATGGGGGAAACCCCACCCTTGATCCGGTCCATGAGGCTACCATACAACTATCCTAAGCCCAATATTTAAGCCCAGCGTTAACAGAAATAGTCCATACATGTAAAACAAAGCCTCAAAATAAAATAAAATTAANTTGGTTTACACTGCTGGTACCGCATCCCATAGAACACAGATTTGAAAATGAATTATTCAGCCTGGCTGAGATTCCTCATTCTTGAGGGTCTCACGGTGGCGAGTAGCCTCACAAGCCTGGCCATCAAGCTGCATGTAATATCACTGTCTCCTCCACCTGAGAAGTTTGTCAAGCCCCATCTGTTTAACCTGCTGTGCACACTGCTTCAAACAGCCGGTTTCAGAAGTGCTCTTGTAGTTGACAAACCAGATGTCCTTGTTAGAAAAAAAGACTAACCTTCAAAGTGGAACTGAAAACAGAGGTCTTCTGCTGTTCCTAATGTTCGAGTTTGTTGGCATTAAGTTTACAAGGGTTAGTGTTTAGAATTGAACAACAAATTCAGGACTTGAACTTGACTCAGAGTGTCCAGCTTTGATAGTTGATGACCCACCCAGCACCTCTTCCCCTATAACCTGTCTGCAAAATAGTGACTTTGTCCCACCTCTGGTACCAAACCATGCAGATAGGTGGTGCTCTTCTGGGAGTTTGTCCCAGATATGTGGAGCACAGAAGCTGAATGCAGCTTCTCCATGTTTGGTTCTGACTCTGGGAACAGACCTGCCCCAGACAAATTGGGTGGTCTGGATGGTTTGTAGTGTGTCAGGAGGTCACTGATGTATTTTGGCCCTAAACCATTCAGAGCTTTATAGACCAGCAGCTGTATCTTAAAATCTATCCTCTGACAGCAAGCCAGTTTAAAGACCTCAGAATAGGAGTGATATGATCCACGTTCTTGGTCTTAGCGAGGAGTTGAGCAGCGGCGCTTTGAATCAGCTGCAGGTGTCTGATTGACTTTTTAGGTAGGACTGCAAAGATGCTGTTACAGTAATCAAATCTACTAAAGATGAATACATGGACAGGTTTTTTCCAGGGCCTGCTGAGACATCAGTCCTTTTGTTCTTGATATATTCTTTAAGTGATAGCAGGCTGACGTTGTAATGGCCTTAATATGTTTTTCAAAGATCAGGTCTGAATCCATGACTAAACTCAGATTTCTGGCCTACTCTGTGGTTTTTAGTTGTATAGATTAGAGCTGTGTGCTGACTTCTAATCCCCTCTCTTTTGCTCCAAAAAACAACTATCTCAGTTTTGTCTTTGTTGAACTGAAGAAAGTTCTGGCACATCCACTCATTTATTTGTTTAATACATTTATCCAGTTCCTTTTAATGGGACCGTGGTCTCCTGGTGGCATTGTAATATGGTGCTGTGTGTCATCTGCGTAGCTATGATAATATCTTTTGTTGTTTTCTATTATCTCAGTCAGTGGGAGCATTTAGATGTTAAACAGAAGAGACCCCAGGATGGAGCCTTGGGGAACTCCACATGTAATTTTTGTCTGATCAGATGTAAAGTTGCTTATAGACACAAAGTAGTCCCTGTTCTGTAAGTAAGATTTGAACCAGTTTAGTACTGTGCCAGAAAATCCCATCCAGTTCTCCAGTCGGCTGAGTAATATGTTGTGGTCCACTGTGTCGATTGCAGCACTGAGGTCCAGTAGTACGAAGACTGAAATGCTGCCACTGTCTGTGTTTAAGCAGATGTTGTTAAACACCTTAACAAGAGGAGTCTCAGTGCTGTGGTGCTGCTGAAAACCTGACTGGAAGATACTGAAGTAGTTGTTCTGTGTTAAAAAAATAAAAAAATAAAAAAATAAATCATTTACCTGTTTAAAAACTGCTTTCTCAATTATTTTACTCAGAAATGGAAGATTTGAAATTGACCTGTAATTGTTCCTCAGTGACTTGTCTCGAATCTTCTTCTTTGACAACGGCTTGATGACAGCAGTTTTCAGGGCCTGTGGAAAGACACCTGACATAAGAGACAAGTTCAGTATCTGTATAAGATCAGAGGCCATTACTAGTGAAACATTTTTGAAAAATCCTATGGGCAAGACAGCAGGAGGAGGAGTTTATTGATATACAATGTCTTCCACATTTTTATAGTTAATGGGATCAGACTGTGTCATTGTGTTTAAATTAGTTTTAGGTGGACCCAGCACATATCCAGGACCTGATGTAGAGCTGCTGACTATCTAATTTTCTGGATTTTGTCTCTGAAGAATGAAGCAACTTTGTCCCTGGTGGAATTAAGTTCAGGTGCAATTGACACTGGAGGGTTTATTAGCTCGTCGACAGCAGCAAATAAGGCACATGCATTAGTATTTTTATTGGTGATGATGTCAGAGAAATAAGATTACCTTGTGGCTTTGATGCCTGTGTCAGAACTGGTGGAGGCAGACACCATGTCGGTTTAATGGGAGAGAAAATGGAAGAAGGCTGGGGGCTACATTTGAGTTCAGCACTGGTCAGTAAACTCCAGGTTGGGGGTGGAACAAAGTATCCAATGAAGACTTTTTCAGTCATCTTTGATTGAAGCGAGCCAGATAGCTAAGTGACATGAGAACAGATCAGTGTCCCAAAACTCCTCCTAACTGCTCTGCTCCCTGTGTTCCAGATGGAATAGTGCGTCCTCTCCATTCTAGCGAGTACCTGTTCGACTTCCTGTTGGATGATGGCTCTATCTCCTTCTCGCTGAGGAGAATGATCTGGAAAAGCCCTCTGTCCTTCAGCAATGACCTCTATGTGGATTTCCACTATCAGCAGGTGACAAAATGACTTCACAGCAGCCAGGAACAACATGACTTGTCGACCTCTGATTCAGTTTATATCTAGCTTTCACTGTCTGTGTGTGTTTCTGTGTGTGCAGCTCCTTGCTGACTACCTGAGTGGGCACCTGATGCTTCCTCCTACTGCAGGAGGGTCCCCAGCAGTCCAGCTGATAGCAGAGCTGTCAGCCCTGCAGCATCTGGCTCTGGGTCTGCAAGATCAGCCTACACTGTGAGTGGCACACACCGAGAGTCACAGTAATACAGCACTGTGCAATGTTTTAGGACACTGACTCATTTACCCACTCTGGACAAAAGCTTGTTTTCACCTCAAAATAGTTCAAGTATCTCCTAAACCACAAATTGTCATTTTCATATTTTTGTTGGTATACAGAATAAGTAAAAAACATTATGTCGATATCTTAGATTTAGAACCTTTGGCTAAGCGATTCCCTTTGCTTTTATTCAATTCAATTTGATTCAATTTAATTCAATTCAA